TTCATTCTGTTTAATTTATAAGCTTGTTTCCTCACGGGGACCTCAAAAATGTCCCCACAAGATCAAAATTTACTAGTATTACTATCCTTGTGGGGACATTTGGTCCCCATAACGTGATGAAAACCAGGTACACACACACACACACACACACACACTTCTTTCCAAAAGTCCCAATTATTCAGAATCAGGCATCACATGGACATGCTTGACAGCCTGTTTTTTGGCTGAATGAAGATTCAAAGTTTGGAGGAGGATTTTGGCGTAACTCATTGTGAAGGTTTTACCCGTCCTTTCATTATCCGACTTACTTTTAACAACAAGAGGAATCAAAGCGGTGTGTAAATGTGTGTGTGTGTTTAGCTTGGAGTTTAATTTGATTTCCTCTGCTTTTTCTGACTTGTTTCTTTTAGTGGCTCTTTGTAAGAAGGACACGGCGGATGAGCACCTCAGCGTGATCAACCAGGTACCACACATACACGTTTACAATGAAAAGCGAATTACGTTAGACAGCGAGAAAATGAAGCAATTTATTTATCATTATAACCATTGTACTGAATTATGCAAAACTATTAGCTCGTGTTCCTGCGGTTTCTAAGCTCTGTAACCATCGTGTACTACATTAATGAGATTTTGAGCTCAAAAAGACAAACATGGACTCATAAATACATGCGAGAGAAGGAGAGACATGCATTGGTGGAGAGAGAGAGAGACAGTAGATTAATTTACTTTACAAAACAGACTCTGATTTGATTAGTCGTATTTGAAGTCGTCATGAAATTATGATAAACGCACGTTCTGTATAGCCCAACCTGAATAATCTACAGTTAGACTAATGCATTATATTACTTCATTCAGATTTATTCTGATTCTTATTAATGAATATTTATTGAACATTATAAACACATTGTAAACTAATAAACATGGTCTTTTATGAGTGTTGCTGCTGTTAAGCCACTTGAGGCCGTTCATTACAGTGATTTGACCAAGGTCACTGGGTTAAGATCACTTACCCGCGGTAATAGACACACTGCCTCGAGTGGCTTATTGTGTTAGTTTGAAGAGAAATTGGTCCTCTGTGTGTGTGTGTGTTGCATTGTGGGTAAGCTCTGCTGTTGTAAATGAGTCAGCAGTGTGACTTGTTTTGTTTGGACAGATTAAAAAAATTACATTAAAAATAAAATTGAAAACATAAAAAAACCCAAAAAGGAAACTTTTTTCAGCTTGTAAAGGAATATTTTTATTTACTTGTATTTTTATAATTTATATTATTTATGTAATCTTTTATTTCGGATGTTTTGCTCTTCCTTCTGCCTTCCTTTTTCTCTTTCTTCTCCCTTGTTTTGTTTGGATATATTAACATTTAAAAAATATATATTTTTATTCCTTCCATTTTATTATTTTCATCTTTTAAAAAAGTCTCTCTCTCTCTCTCTCTCTCTCTCTCTCTCTCTCTCTCTCTCTATCCTAATATGTCTGACAAGTGCCCATTCTGTTAAAAAAGGGAAACAGTTTTTCACTGTTTTTTAGAGTGTTCAAGATTGAAAAATTTGTTTAATGTACTTAGCCTAATGTTTTCTATTTTTGGTGAAAATGTTTCTTAACAGAGTTTTATTTTTGGCCCATGTTATAGAGCAGCTCACAGAACTAAAAGCCAGTTGCTGAATTGTTTTAATTGGATAAGCTAAGAGAGCTGTCTACATTACGAGGCAAAGAAAAATAGAAGAGAAGCACAAAAAGTAGAATTGGTTTTTAAAAGATTGGTGAAAGGTCGAATCTTGATTGATTTGAACTTTTATAAGTTGATTAATGACTATGAAAGTTTTTTGCATAGGTGGGGGTACAATGAAGTCAGTTGTACATTAGTGGATGGAATGTTGTTTTTTAATTTGGTATTGGAGTAAGTTTTAGGTGTCAAAAATTGGAAACGTTATGTCATGTGGAAGCACCTTGGAAATGTGTAATGTGATGAGTTTTTAAAATTATATTGTGAAATTGTTTTTATGATTTAATAAAGTTGTTGTGAAAATTCAAAGAAAAAAAATCTCTCTCTCTCTCTATATATACATAAATATATTAGTCAAAAACAGTCATTAATATATATTTTTTTAAATATCCGAATATTCGTCTTTCTAAGACATGGCAGGGTTAGTTCAGCTTCACATCAAACTATATGACCAATGAAATATTTTGAAAACATTTTTTAAATGTTTTGAACACTCACTTCAAGCAATATGGACAATATATTATTATTTTTACTTGTTTTGTTAGTCATTAAATGAAAACTTTGTTGAAACTGGTTGAAACGTTTTTTCAAAACCAAAGATTAGATTTCTAACCAAAACAATGGACTTTTAAATGAATTATTACACTATTTTTCTTTTCATCCTTATGCAATGACCCATAAAATTTTCCTTTAAACTGATTAAAAAAAACATATATATATATATATATATAATACCCCTATAGATGGTCAAGAACAGTAATTAGTATTTATTTAAAAATGTCAGAACTTTTTAGAGCCATTAAATTAAATGTTTGGAAATACTTTTCCACAACCATATGAAACCAATGATTAGATTTCTAAGAAAAACACTTGACTTGTAAATTAGATTGTTACATTATTTTTGCATTTTGCATTGACTTTTCATAAACATAACAAACCAACAGAAATTCAGATAAACTTTGCACAA